AAAATAACAACATAAAATTAGATTCCTTGGGTTAAAAATAATTGTGATTTAAATGTTTGCTAATGTTTCTGATTTATCTTCTATTTTATTTTCAAGACTTATAGAACTTCCCAGCTCAAATGATGTAATTCTGAGTGGTGTACACCATAAAAACAATATATAAAAAGGGAAAATACCCTCATATACCATACAATACATAAATACAAAATATACCATGTGGCAATTAGTATATGACAAAACAATCAAAGGGGAACTCGTACTCAATTGATCCCTAATGTCTGGGTCAGAGTCAGGTCTTAATGGCTTTCTTAAAAGTGAGATTTGGGGTTAGGCATATGTTGGCTATGCCAAGAATGCTGACAACAGCAAAGCAAATCTCATAAACTGCTCAATTAACAGTGTACTGCAGAGCACTGAGATATTTTAAATAAATGCATTAGTGCTCTTTTATTCATTCTTTCAATATAGAAGGAAAATATGGCATATTTGCTAGAAGGAACCCAAACACTGCCAGAAATTGGAGGGTCCTTTTGTATTTTCAATTGGAAATGTTTGGATCAGTAAGTGAAGTGTTTAAACAACTGCTACAGATGCCTGCAGTTTAGGTATTTTCAAGAGGAAAGATTTTCTACTTGAGTCAGTGAATGACAAACAGCTTTCCTTTGAATACCATACTGGTACTTTCCCTCAGTTTTCTAAGTTCAGTAGAAAACGGATCAAGCAAGTTTTCCATTTCAAAGAGGTCTCTAATCAATGGTAGGGCACAAAAAAGGAACCCAGACATATTTATGTGCACAATGCTCAGAACTAACAAAAGCTTTGGAGAAATGTGTTGGCAAAATCAATGTAACTTCACTGGTTACAAATGTTGTTTTTGTGGCATGAAACAAATGGGCATTTTAAACAGGTCACAAAAGATCAGCCATAGCATGGAAAGGAATTCAATAAATATTCTGAATAAAAAAGCCAGCTCTTGAAGATAAACATCAGGATAATGCATTGGAAACAAAATGGCAGGAAACATTGTGCCAGAAGAGCAATTTGAAGATTAAGGTTTAACTTTTCAAAGTGTAGGTTATGATAAATTATTCATAAAAACAGCATTTCTATTTGGCTCTGCAACTCAAGAGTTGGATGCTATTCTCTACTGCAGTTCATCAGGCTGTCAGTCAGTGAAGATGCTGATGTTCAGTCAATATTTTCAGCTAGAAGCATCCCCCAAAATAGAGAAAAGCACATCATGAGGGATCATGGAGTACAGGATCTACCACTGTGCAAATCTCCACCACCCCCTCCCTGCATTAAGGCTGACATAGTTCTCTGCCCCAGTTTAAGTGGCCACAAATATTCCAGTAGAACACAAAATAATAATTAGCAGGCAGTGGGCTTGGAGCTTCTTGCACAGGTACTTGGGATTTTTCCGGTTGTGATAGGCAAACTGACAACTTGATTTTGGGTATAATTTTCAAACTTGTTCTAATAGGCACAAACTTGGGCTCAAAACTGTTTGATTCTTTCCAGTGAATCATAAGAGGATGGCAAAGACTTTGTTGACATACAATGAAACAATCATGGAAACACACATCAATTGCATTTTCAGTTATCAGAGTAATGTCATCAGAATAGCAGAGGTTATTGATGGTTATTTTTTTTTTGCCTTAAAACCATGCTTATCTTCTTCCAACTCAGCTTTCCTCAATATATATGCCACATATAACTTGCAGAAACAGAGTAAACAACCTTGTCTCACTGGTTTGCCAATCTGGAACCATTCTGTTCACCATGTTCTGATGGATTATAGCTTCCTGATCCATGTATATTTTTGCATGAGGGCAATGAGATATTTTGGGATTCCCATTCCCATTTAAGTACACCTTGACATGATTGACATAATCAACAGTCTCTCTGTAATAAATGAAACACACGCTGAATTTTTTGTTTTGCATTCTTTGGATTTCTGAATTATTTGGTCGGCATCAGAATATTCCTCAGCCTATGGAGATTCTCAATCATCCAGGTCATGCTTGTCCCAAAGGTGCTTTTTCTGGAGGCAACTGGACTTTCTTGTTTTTTTTTTCCCTATGAAGATGTTTCATTTCTCATCCAAGAAGCTTCATCAGTTCTGACAGGATAGTTGGAGAATGGAAGGATTTATATTCCTTGCAGACAGCGGGTCATTTGCATTCTTTTAGAGAGTAGTTGAGGTCACTTGGAGGTTTATCTTGTCCTCAAGGTCACCTGAGTAGTGCAAATTAGTGTGGATTCTTCTTGGCTGCAGGATGTTTTCTGCCCTGTGTCCCTTCACTGTTGAAGACTGGTGCAGGCTGTTAGGATGAGTCTGTGTTGTCTGCATCTCCAACTGAGGTGCGCATGGTTCCTGTAGTCTGCATTTTTCTGGAAATCCATTCATTCGAATGGTGTGGGAGTATGAACGGATTTCTGGAAAAATTGCAGACTACAGGAACCATTTCCACCTCAGTTTAAGGATTATTTAAAGATATTTTTCAATAGTTTGCACACTCTGTTAAGTCTTTGTTTGATGTTGGTACAGTATTAGCATGTGTAAACAACCAGACTCACATGTGGAAAGTTCAAGCTAACTACCTTATTAGGTTCTGCCTAAAATACAGGAATCTCCCCAGTTTGGCAGCCTATTCCTGGGAATAATTAGATAGATAGAAAAGAACTTGGGAGGGAGTCAGACCTAGCCTTTTTTGTGGTTGTGCAGTGATCCCAGGCTAGTCTGTGCTTGATCCCCCTTCCCTGCCAGATTGGTTGTTTTGCAACAAGTACATAAACTGACTTCTTCCAATCTGTCAATCACTGTTTTGTTTTTCTGATTTCTGGCATAATTGGTTAAAAAAATCGCAGGTTCTTCTTTCGTTGCTTTCTGCAGGTATTCCATAAATATCTCTAGCCTTCCAATTTGGCATTGATGAAAGTGCTGACCTAACTTCACCTTGTAATTCTAGAAGTTCTTGTCAGGAATATCTTCTGAATTGTTTTCATATATCTACTATATAGAATTTCACTATTATACTTCCATTTTTGTTTTTCTTAGAATCAGTCACTACCTATCCATTAACATCCTTTAGAATACCAATTCAAGGTTGGAACTCCCTTCTGAATTTGGAGATTTTTTGGGGAAGAATTTTCTTATTTCCCTTTGTTTGTTTCCATCTTCAGTGTCCTTACTAATCTTGTTATAATTCTGCTTCTTGTTTCAACTCTCTGAAATTCTTTAACTTCCTGAGATCTTTGTCATTCTTGGCTTTAGCTTCTATTCTCTTTCATGGCTTGTTCTAAGATTTTTTTATTTCTTGATTTTTGTCAGTCTCCTTTCTCATTCATCCATAACAACACCCTTAAGTTCATTCCACAGTTCCCCTGGCTGTGTGTCAATACATTTCAGGACTTCAAAGAAATATCTGATGTTTTCCCTGGAAATGGAGGGTGCATGTTCAAGATGATATCATGGAAACTGGTTGACATTCTTCTTTAGCTTAATTTAGAACTTGCACATAAAAAAAGCAATTCATTATCTCTTTTACAGTCAGCCCTTTCACATTTTTACTGTTACAAATGAGTTCTTTCACCTCCTCCTATCAATAATGTAGCCAATTTGACTTCTGTGTACTCCTTCTGCTGTTATTCATATACAGTATATAGTATTCATTTTGGTTGTTGGAAAACTGCACTGGCAATGACAAAAAAAACCATTAGATTGGAAGAAATTGTTGTTCTGCTTCATTTCCACTTCCTAGGTAATACAGTCAAACTACATTTTCTTTCTTAATGTTTCCAACTTTGGCATTCCAACCTCCAATCACAAGTATCACATCTTGCTTCCATTTTCTGCTGATTTGAAATTGAACTTGATCATAAAACTTGTAAGCCTCCTTTTCATTTGCATCCGTAGTTGATGCATACACTTCTCTATTAAGTCTAATCAATATTATTTGATCACTGATTGCAACGAAGCCAAGTACTGTTCTCACTGTACTCTTTTTAACTATAAAAGCAACACTGTCCCTTCTTTATTTTTCAAGAGTAGTAAACAATGCAATCTTCTGATTGAAAATATCCAATGCTTATTACTCCAAAAGAGTCTGAGCTCTTCCCCGGTAGCATGTCGAGTGTTATCTGACATGAGCAGCACTGCACTGTCAGTGATTTGATATTTCCTATCCATATGATTTTTTTCTATAAAATAAAATAGTGTTTTACTACTGCCTTCACCCACACACAGCCTTTGCTTCTGTCACTAGAGATCTTTTGCCTCCAGCATCTTCCTATATTGCTGCTGTCCAATATGCTGCTTGCTCTGTCTGGGCTTCTTGGATGACCCTGCTGAGATTCTGTATTTTTGTCAAACACTTGCAGGTTTCATCACTCATCCTTCCCACACTCCACTCCACAATGAGACAGTACAGCAAGATCATGATACTTTACTTATTCAGAAAAATAAGTATTTAGAACCCTTATTCAGAAAAGATTATTCCTGGTGTATTTGAAATTTGACAAAATATAACACTTGCACTTTTTGAGAAGAGAAAAGCAAGAATATTCATTTCTAGCCTGTTAGTTCCATTCCCACTCTTTTAAAAGAAAATATATTTAATCGCCAATGTTCAAAATCATAACAATACATCCATACTTTGAAAAGTATGGGAACTCTTGTTTGAAAATGAGTTAACGTTTTTATCCCACAGAGACTACATTCTAAGTCAAATATTTATAAATAATGTTTCCTATAAACCAGATTTTAAAATGCCATAAACTATCTACCAAGATCTTCTGATACAGAATGTTTTCAGAACATTAAGGTCTTTTAAAAAATCTTGTAGATAATCTTTTTTAATTTACTCTTCCCTTGGGAAACTGTTCTGGCTGAGAAAAGTTTACATAGAATTTCCTGGTTCTAATAGGCAGATCAACAAATTTTGCTCTTCTCTTGCTTATTTTGTTATGCTCCACAGTTATTATTTTTCAACACAAACCTCGATCCTGTGGCATTGGGGATTGGCTCAAGGCAGGATGGGAGCTAGATTCTGATTGGGTACCAGGAGTCTGTGATGGCATCTGGCTACCTGCAACATACATGGAGACAAAAAATAAATGACTTGTTCCTAACAATGCAAAAGAGGTAATAAAAATCATACAGGCATTCTAAAAAGTGGTACACACGACTGTGCTAAATATAGTGAAAAATGTGATATCTATTTCAAATAGACATTTTTCTTTTATATAATCCATGGAAACATGCATAACATATTTAATCAAAAAGAATCCCGAAATGCTTTATTTTGTACTGAGTCTGTTTTCAAACTTATTGACAAAATTCAATTTATAGCTCTTGAAATATATATTTTAGGGAGGAATTTAGAAAATTCAAGGCGGCTGAACAGTGGAATTCATCCTGTTAGCTTGCACTGGCATACAGCCAGGGAAACATGGACAGCTGCCAACCTTAGAATGAAAGATAAATTCTATCTATGCTGTTTGGAAAAAAAATCCACTGAATCAATGGATTTAATGTTGGTGCCAAGATATAACACAGTAATAAACCAATACATATCTAAAGCCTGTGGTGTGCACTTTGTTATCAAAATAAGAGCTTAGTTCATAATTTACATCTGGTAAAAGAAAACAAAACTAGCATGCAAATTGGAATAGGACGGAATCCAAGTCAGTGTTTAACCAAAGGGAACATGACTTCATAAATAGCAACACAAGCAGATTTACATCTTGACCTGAATATCTGCATAGCTGTGGGCAAAGTGCAGACAGAAAGCTTGGTTCAGCATCGTTGTATGTATGTGGCGATTTGGGTTTGCCTTCTTTTCTCCTCTTTTGTTTCCCCCTCTTACAATAGTCACCTAGGGAGGGATGGAGAATCCAGATCAGGGTTTTGTTTTTATATTTTTGCTGTACTGTTTTCCTACTGAAAATTACTTCTGAACTGCTTCACTCCTGTGGGTTGGCTTCTACCACCAATGTAATGGACCCTTGTGGTGGAATGAAGCCTCATCTACTTATAGCTCCTTGCTTGACTTCCAAATCTGTTCTGGAAAACTGGGAGACCTCTGAAAGCAGATTTAGGGGTCATGTGGAGGTTGGGAGTTGGAAGGAAAAATCTTGCCAATTAGGAGAGTGCTATATTATTGATGCTTCCTAGAGTAGTGAAGAATTATTTAGCTTTAACACAATAAGGAAAGTAGCTCACCCAACTACCAGTATACTGCCCCCCCCAGATGTGATCAGAATATGACTTGTTACATAATTATTTACAAAGCCAGCCATAAAATCATGGCAAGAGAAGTGACTTGCTTTAATAAGATATTCCAAAGCAATGTACTGTACTACCCCACTGTACATATTGTTAATGAGTCTTTGAATTGACATGCAGGTTTCAAAAATACAAATACCCTTTATTTGGTGTGTCTGATAATAATCAAAATCAAAGCAAGTATGAAGAGGAAATTTAATCACATCCACCACTGCTAGGTCCTAAAGAAAATCCCTCTTGTGAAGGTCTTATTTCTATTAAAAGGCAATCACTTGCCAATCATCCCAACCACATTTATAGTCAGAGCCCACAGCAAAGGAGGAAATGTATTTAATTATTATTGATTTTATATCCTATATTTTACTTTATACAGCAAGGTGATTTATAGCAACTAAAAATGCAAATTATAGACATAAACATAAAAATAATACAATTACAATCAAGGTAAAATAAAAACCAGCACCATTAAAATAAAAATAAATTCAACTAACAAATGTTTGGTGAAAAAAAAAGGAGTCCTTATTTCTCTAAATTTTGAGGGGGGTGGGGCAGAAGATAAATCCCTTTCCTATATAGGCAGCAGAGAGATTTTTAAACTATCTTTTCCTAATGACCTAAATCATGGCTGAATACCTTTTGGCTTGTCTGGGCCACACTGAGTGAAGAGGAATTTTCTTGGACCTCATATAAATATATATAATTAGTTAATATACATAAATAACAAACTTCTTTTATTTTTAATATTTTGTGGGACCAGTTGCAAAAGATTTTGCAAAGTTTTTTGCAGGCTAACTTTTCCCTTTCTATAAACTGAGTTGATAGGATTCTGAGAATTTGTTTGCCAGGTTGTGAAGAGCAACTATGAGCTTAACATTAACATACGTGTTAATATTATAACACGTTTAAATGATTCAGTAAACAGGCATTGTAATCTGGAATCATGTCAAGAAGCAACTTAGATGCAAATTTATCGTGTCACTGTCTGATTATCAATTCATTATGGAATGTATTCCTTTAAAAATATAAGTATTGATTTGAAAGCTGAGGTTCTTAGGAATGTAACTAATATTTCAATATAACACCTCCTGATGGCGACCAAACAACTAGGGTTTTGCAGGTTTATTTTAACATGAAAATATATTTCTCTGATGAGTGAAAGCCTGCTGGCTCTGTAAAATGCTGAGAAAGACTTGAATCTAAATACCATGCTACTAGAAATATAACATTTTGCTCTTAACTTTCTGAATTCTATATTTCTTCTTGAACTCTTTTTAGTGTTTCTTATTTGGGCTAAATTACTGACTTCTAGAAGTCAAATGATACAAGGGTATGGGATGTAATTTCACTTATTTGAGACTAAGAAATTTCTGTATTTATTGAGAGTTTTCCTGAATAAAGGTAGTCCTCATTTAGTGACCACAATTTGAATTAGCAACTCAGTCACTGAATGAAGCAGTCACTAAGTGAAATTATGGATGAGATTTCTTTTGCTTTATAACACTATGAAGGTTCTAAACGTGAAGTTTGATTGTAAAGTTATTTTTTATTACTGTTGTAACTGCGAATGGTAGCTAAACAAGGCAGTCACTAAATAATATAATCTGTATTATATATTGGGTTCAATTTGGTTAAATGGAGTTTTAGGAAATATTTCTGGGTTATTAGGAATGAACAAACTAGTTAGCATCTCATTCCAAACATCTGTATATAATCTAAACAGCTATTAAAATAGAACTGTAGTAGCATGGGAAAATACTCTTAGTTATCTCATCACTGGCTACATTAGTTAGGAAATATAAATATAGTAAAAATACTATTTAATGGATCTTTGTAAAGTGGACTTCATTGAAAACATTTTTATCTGTTAAATAATATTTACATCATTTATGTAAATACCCCTATAATTTGGTGCAAATGGCATAATTTGAATTTAATAGATACTCCATCAGCCTGAGTGCTGTATTAAATCAAGTTATGACAGTTTTTGGAAACTAGTGTCAAACTCTTGGCAGTCCACAACAGAAAGCAATATTCTCCCTGGCTTACTTTTAACAGGAACAGATTCAAGTTACAGAAATCTCAGCAACTGGATAATTTTCACTTTCACAACCTGATATATTCCTAGCTACTTAAGACAGATTTTTCCAATCTTTTCCTAAGGGCCTTTATATGAACTGATAGGTGATTTTCTTAACTGTTAAGAGTACATTGTTCAGCGGACCAGGGAAGTGAACCCTCTCAGGCTGTGAAACTATCATTACACCATGACTGTGAACAACATAGTTCAAATGGCAGATAAAACTAATCACTCAAAGCATTTCCAAAGGCAAATCATAAAGTCAATTGCAATATTTTCCTATCCTTCCCCTCCGTCCCCACACAAGCATAGAATATGAAATATTTCTTTCTGCAAATCCTATGTGAAGTTTCTCCTAGCCCAGGACATGGTAATCAGATTCTTAATTGATATTGTGAGATTGTGGCCAAGGATAAATAGTTGCAAAGGCCTTTTTTTTTTTTTTTCCATACGTTGCATGATGTATCTCTTACAAAAATAATAATAATCAAACAATTGTTTACACAATTGAATTTCAAGGAGAGACATTAGAATGATATAGAAGAAGAGATCTATAACTAGAAAATTGCTGAAAAGTATTTTTGGCAATTATTGGCAATTTGGACAGAAATGATTCGATCAAAAACCTTAGTGAACAAGATGTGTCAAGAATTCTAATGAATTGCATAGCCCAACACTAGGAGTAATTTTGAATATATTATAGATGAATGGGATAAGTCACTTGTTGGCCTTTAAAGTATCAATCAATCAGATTTACAAAGCTACCGCTTTGTTTTACTGAAAATAGGCACAGCAAAATTATTCAATTGCTTTTTTAAAAATTGAACTATGTGTTTACAATATATGCAAGCTAGAATGTATAAAGGTACTTCAGGTTTATGTTGGAAATGCAGAAAACATGAAGGGTCAAATGACAACTGCTGCATTATTATTATATGCACAAAAATGTTAAGACTCTGAAATACCCACAACGGAAGAATGGCTGGTAAAGAAGTCAGCAGAGACGGCAAAATTGATTTGTTTCATTAGAGAAAGGACAATAACTGCATTTATTAGTATTCAAAAATTCTTCATGGACTATTCTGCTGTAAGAAAAAAATGAACATGTGATTTATAGGTTTGATGATTAGAAATGGTAGATTATGGAAAGAAGGGAAATATATTTTGCACCAAATAGCCCTCATTCCTGACTAGGATTGCCATTAAAGCAATTGCAACCAAGTAGATGCTTCCTTATACTGTTACATTAATCTAATTATTACCCTCTGAGATTTTCAGTTTCCTATAGGCATATTTTGGTACAGAAATTGTAATATTACAACGAGTTGTAATAAAATACCTCTATATTCTGGCAAGCTCTTGAGGTACGACAGAGATCATAACCAGACAGTAAGTAATATTATAAAATCTTTAATGCTCACTATTTTTTTCTTCAACGCTCACTTAGATAGATAGAATAGATAGAATTCTTTATTGGCCAAGTGTGATTGGACACACAAGGAATTTATCTTGGTGTAAATACTCTCAGTATACATAAAAGAAAAGATACATTCATCAAGAGTCAAGAATCATAAGGTACAACACTTAATATAGTCATAGGGTACAATAAGCAATCAAATCATACTAGGAAACAGTCAATATAAATCGTAAGGATACAAGTGACAAAGTTACAGTCACAAGTGGGAGGGGATGGGTGATAAGGAGTGATGAGAAGATTAACAGTAATAGTAGT